AAACGAAAAAGAACAACAGTCACAGTTCAGGGGATCAGATCTACCCGATCCCCCTACCTCTGTACCGTGCATGTGCAGATGGTCTCTGCTTCTGTTTCGTTTAATTCCAGTTTACTCCCCAGCAGTGTTGCCAATAGGGCTGCCACGATTACGTCCACTATCAAAATCGTTTGAAGCTTTGTAAGATCACAAAAGACGCAGGAATCAGTAGCAGGATTTAAGAGTGTAATAACGGACTGAAACAGAAGATGGCAGCACTGCATGTACAAGCATGCCAGATGTCGTTAAACCCCGAAGAAGAAGAAGCTGTGTCCCAGAATTCATAGCGCAGCCCAGCTCAGTTTCCAACAATGGCGGCAGCTAGTTAGTGTTAATATTACTCTTATTATTCTTTCTGGGTCACAAAATAAACGTTTAACATATTTTCAGGCGAGAATGTAGCTGTGTAAACTTCAAATATCTGCTCAGTTTATCAAGACACCACATATTTTCAAAAGCGCTCCGATGTTTTCAGAGACGTCTGTTACCCACTAGCTCGATAGCTAGCCGGGGGCTAGGCTAACTAGAGCCGTGAGAACACCGGACTCCCGGCAAATCGTTTTCAAACCCACCGCCGTCTTTCGCTACTCAGGTTAAACATATATAAGTCACTTAGATAACTTAAAAATGTTATTGTTTGGCTTTTTTTTTAGTATTTTATTTGTTCCTGAGTAAATCGGTTTGGCTGAGATCAAAGTTATAGTTTTTACACAGCTGAATAAACCTCAAGCAGACAGCTGATTATCAGAAGTGTGAGATGCTCGAGAATATACTCCGGTGTCCTGTTATATTTTAGATAGCAAGGAGTTTATTAAACTTCACCGAAACAATCTGCAAATTTAATAAACTATCATCTTGTCTTTATTTTTAGTTAGCACCTTAAACACTTAAAGCTGTAAGCTAATGATAGTCATATAAGAGCAGATGCTGCTGGTGCAATAAGCTGTACGTTTTACGTCCAATGGATGATGATCTGATTAGTCGACTAATCGCAAAAATAATCGGTGACCAGTCGACTATCAAAATAATTGTTTGTGGCAGCCCTAAGTCTGATCATGACAGAAACTCATCTTATTCCTTCTTTTCTGTTGTTACACACAAGGAAGCTCTTAGAATATGTGTGTGCAATAAACAGTGTTGTTCCTGCTCCGGGACAGTAGGGGGCAGCAGCAGGAGCAGAGTGAACTGTTCAGCAGCACATAAGAAAGGAACAGGAAGTGGTTGTGCTGTGCTTTATGCGTTTTTTCCTTTTTTCTAAACATCAGACGTGAATCAAACAGTTTTCAGCTGCAGTTTGATTTAACTTGGAGTTACTTGAACTTCCTGTTGGTTTGTTGGTGGATTTAAGGAGGTTAAATTGATTAACTATTGTGATCTTTCAGTTAGCTTTTGTTGTGCAGATGCAGCAATGCATGATGGGAAAGACTCCCCGTATTTTATTAAAACGAAATAACCTGATGTGGCTCTGTTGGAAGCTCCTTCCTGTGTATATAAATAGTGTGTAGTCCCAGCCTCCTGCAGGCTGTGTTTGTGTTGATTGTGAGATTGTGAGCACCGTGAGTGTGCAGGGTTTGTGTGTGAAAGAGTCCCCCATGTGTGAGGTGAACAACTCATACTTACCTGGCAGGGGAGATACCATGATCAAGAAGGTGGTTCACCCAGGGCGAGGCTCAGCCATTGCACTCCGGTTGTGCTGACCCCTGCGAATTCCCCAAATGTGGGAATCTCGACTGCATAATTTCTGGTAGTGGGGGACTGCGTTCGCGCTCTCCCCTGATCACATGTTCAAAGAAAACAGACCCCTAAACTCAGTTACTCAGTCAGATTCAGAGATTTGCTTCTTATTGAGTATCTCAGGGAGATGTGAGTGATGTCAGGACTGGCTGCTGTGGCTCATTTGTTGAGTGCAATTTGTAGTTCTCCCTGTTCTCCACTAAAGGAAGACAGAGCTTTGCAAGTTGGTCTGCTCTTTGTCTCGGAACTTTTATTACTGAAGGAATTTGCTCATTCTGTGTCCTGTATTGATTAAAAATCAACACATGGATAAAAATAAATATCCTCTCATCTTTGATTTTGCAGATTAAAATGTGCATTTTTATTATTTTATTTATTGTGACTTGAACACTATTTTTGCTTACATAGCTGAAAGTGCACTAATCTAACACTCATAAGGTTTTACTATATCAGATTGACAAACGTTTACCAACGCCCTGTAGGTACTGTTCTTTACAGCCTCTCCAACCCCGGTATTTTTACCATAAAAACGGTAACCTGACAAAAAAAACAGCCACAAAACAATTACAATTGTTAAAAAAACAGTGTTCAGTATTTTGCAATAATTTTTTGTGGACTGATTTAATAACTTCAGTAAAGGCATCTCCACCAATAAACCCATATTCAAAACCACCTACCTACAACTAAGGAAGGAGCCAAAGTGTAAGAAGTTCCAGTCTGAGGGGTGTACAAGTTCAGCTTAGCCAGCTCTTTGTGTTAGCAGATTTGATCAACACTAAAACTAAGAAATGACCATGGTGCTTACAGAGGCTTTCATTGTTGGACTGTGTGTGTGTGTGCGCAGCTAAAGAGAGTGTTTGATAAATCATCAGCCAACACTGATGCTGCAGGCGAGTCGGTAGAGTAATGTTGCAGTTGGTAATCATGTGAATTTAAAAAATTTGTATTTTTTTAGTGCTATCAGCGTTAATCTTGTTAAAATGACGAGCTGACCGCGTCGACGCCGTGCAGCCCCACGCACGGGGCGATCCGCGCTAACTCGCTAACAGAGATTTGTCACATTAATGTGGTTATGGCCTTAACTTCATTTTAACAAGATTAAGGCTGACGGTATTTTTCCAGTTGGTGCTGCAGTGTTGTGGCAATTACACATTAAGGAGTGTCTGAACAAAAAGCAATTCGCTTCTGGCGCATTTCTTTATAATGATGACATTTGCAGGCGGGCATTCAGGCTGTGGTTGCCTAGGAAACTATCCCGGGTTATTAATACCTCTGTCATTTGTGGGCCAGTGACAACCTTTGCTCGTGTTGTTTGTGTGTAGCTTTGTTTTGGAGTTAGATTAAGAGAAAACAGAGAGGACTAACCAAACTTGGTATCATACCAAAAAACAGGATTGTGAGTTGGGGATTATTAAATTTTGCATATTCCTCCACTTTACATTGTCAGGTTCTCTTGGCATACATTCTTTATGTAGTCCAGTCTTTGGTGTTCGCACTCAAAAGCAAGATAGTGTAGTTCATTTCTTAAGCCACCAGTTTGCTAATACTCTTCAATAGCACTATAAATATCTTGGCCGTGTTTCTCACATTTATCCCTGTTGTATTTAAAAATTTCACAAGCTTGCTCAGGGCACCGTGAACCTGGCAGTGTGACAGCGGTGTAGTCATGGGCAGACTCGTATGTAGGGAAGTTTTTCAGCTGGCTTTTTGAGTTTAAGATTAAGTAACATTCAGCACTGGTGCACCTAACTTTTTTTTTTTTTAAGGCGCACCAGCACAAAAGTTAGGCGACCCAAATTTTTCAACCACATCGCTTAACACCGCAGTTTTACGTGTGCACTTTTTGGGGGGGAAATTGCTGTCCGTTAGGGCTGCTTTGGCACTCTTTGGTACGTTTCTGAAACATCCACGTTGTCGTAAAACGATTGCTTCGCAGTATTTCACACTTGGAGGATAAATCAGGCTCATTAAAACTGACCTGCTCATGTTGTTGAGGCTTACTTGCTGTAATGACCTCTTTCCAGTGGATTTCTGCTTCACAGAGGAAAAAAAGCACAAGCTCCCACCTGCCTGATCATGCTATGATCAGGCAGGTGGGAGCTTGTGCTTTTTTTCTCAATAAGCAGCGGTATCTCTGAATCAATCGGCATCTTTGTTATGCACTCGTCTTTATTTCATGTTTGTCTTGTAAAGGTCCTTTACAAGACAAACAGTGGCATGTACTGCGCTGACTGCTAGCTGAAGTGAATAGTCTAAAATTTGTGTTGCGTTTGCCTCTGTGTGCTGCCTGTATGTCTTTTTTTGTTCTTGCTCTACGTGGACTACATACACCTGCTCCCTGTCACTTCAAAACATGCATCTCTAATCAGTGAGAGCGCCTTGGCACTATCCCTACTAGTGAAGACTATGTTGTTTCAACAGTGCTTTCCTCTCGGGTTCGTTGAACTCGGACATGCATAGAATCAACTTTTCCATGTTTTTGTTCATAGTGTGTTTGATCTTGGCGTGACTGTAGGCGCAAGAAGTAGAAAAGGATGGGTTTCAGAGCGAAGTGCTACTTTCTATGTAAAAGGGCCTTAACAGTGTGCTGTTTATCTTACATCCTTCTCTGGTAAAAGGTTTACCTTTACACAACTGCATTCTTATGCTTAAAGTAGCCAGATATATTTCTTGTACAAACTGTGGAAAGAACAAATAGTTTGTGTCCCTAGCAAAACCGTTATCAGCACAGGAAAGCCTGGTTTTGAAATATCTACAAGGCTCATTGAATGAATGAATGAATGTATGAATGAATGCAGAATTGTCTACAGTGACCGTAGACTCCGGACCAATCACAACGCAGAACTGTCTGCTTTAAGGATGCACTAATTTGACTTGTCTCAGATATGATACTGATGTCTCGGCTTCAAGATGTCATGTTGTTATTCATATAATTTATTTATTCATATAATTTATTTAGAGTAGCTTCATTTAAAGGCTGCTCAATGAGTTGTTGCACTGAACTAACGTCCTTCTAGCTTTCTGGCTTGTGAGACTTTCCTCTGACTGGACATAATGAAAGAAACCAAAGCTTCGTCTGACTTAGGCTGGATATTTAAGGCAACACACTATCCACCGACAGCGCTAAAGTGGAAACACGAAAGAGATTAAAGTGAACAGAAGAGAGATTCTGCTGCTGTTTGATTCTTGTGTGTCATTGATTCTGTGTCTTGTCTGCCTTTCTGCAGGTTTTTCTGGCTCCTCAGTTTCCTGAGGGTTTGTTATATTATTTGTCCTCTCCCAAAACCCGAGTCCAAACCAGCCGGCTTACCACACGAAAAACAAAGCACATCTGCGTGCAGTGTCTTCTTTCTGTTTGGCCTGGATGCTTTGCCAATTTCCAGATAAGGTGGATGGGAAGTGGAGATGAGGCAGATGAGATGGTGTGAGAAGACAATAGCAAATCGGAGGGGAGAAAGAGAACATTTATAAACCCAGACAACAGATGGTGAGTGAAAAAGAAACACTTGGTCCATCATGGGAAGCCCCCAGCAGCCTTGGCCTATTGCAGCATAACTAAGGGAGGATTCAGGGTCACCTGATCCAACCCTATAAGCTTTCAAAGCATAGAAAGTGCAAAGCCTAATCTTAAAAGTACAGTGTGCTTCTGATAAAACAGATGAGGAATACACTGTGAAATAAGTTGTTACCTTAAGGTTTTTAATTAAATAGGCTACACAGAACAGCTGTTTTTGTGTGAAGGTCCTTCGTTTCATTATTTTGGCTGCTGTAGAGCTGGAATGTACCAGCTTGTGGGATAAAGTGTGTTTTCTCTTCCCCACAGCCTGCGATGTTGCCGCGGCAGCATCAGACAGTTGGAAAGAAACAGACTCCATGTGGACGGAGGGCAGATGTCCTTCTGCCCAGCTAGAGAACACCAGGATGAATTCCTCAGACTCGGTATCTGACCTTGTGCTAGCGTGGCGGGCCCCGAGTTCCTTCTGATGCTGAACAGTGTCCGGCCTTATATGACCACAACGTGTAGGTGACAGACTCCCTCGTGTTCCTCAGATCTGGATCACTGGCATCTTTTTTTTTTTTTAAGCATATCTTAGTGCTGTTTAAGTTTTGTTCATGCACATTTCAAGGTATTTTACTTACCTCTTGGTATTTTAATGTTATTCTAGGAATACTGCCTCGGTATCTTACTAAATATAATAATGCGACTTTTTCTTCATAATTGAGCGGTGCCTACTTCAATAAAGTGCGTTGTCAAGAATAGGTTATCTATATAAAAACCAGTGCTACAAATAAGATCTGGGTCTGACTCGCTCCCTGATGGAGACAACTTAGAATTATGTTGCCAAATAAAACTCATTTTGATTGAATATTCTCATTCTTGTTGATTCTGTTGGCTTTTATATGACCTACTTTATCCTGGTTTAACCTTAAAGCTCATCCATTTCTGCAGTACACCGCTCCACTCTGAGCTGCATTAAAAATGAGGGTCACGTTTACACTCAAGACACCGAAGAGTGAACGGTGAAGTCAGAATGATGGAACAATAAAGTTTGAATTCAAGTTTGTTTTTTATTTTGTAAGAACAAAATTCTCTGCGCACCAGACACGAAGACGCAGACCTAAACAGACAAATTAAAATAACAAAACAAAAAAAAAAAAAAAATTTGATAAAAGTTGCAAAAGACAGCTTTTACAAAACCATGTTGTCCACTGCCACTGAACAACCCGAGCTTAGAACAATCTTTTAAATGTTCTATGTCAGGTTCCTGTATGATACAAAAAAGTAAAAAGGACAACTTAATATTGAAGACACACAAAAACTGATACTCTAATGCCAACTTGTTCTCACTCTCAGGGTTACAAATACAGCTGTTATGTCAGAAGATAAGCGTCCAATGACATCTTGAGGCTTCTAACAAAAACGGCAGTAATTGAGGGGCTGGGGTGAAAACATGTTGATGCCACACATCTGGGGGATAAATATCAAAAGTTTAAATGCTTGTTAGCATTAGTTAAGCTTAATATATCAAATACACAGAATCACAACTGCATTGTGAGAGGTTACAATACATGACTGTTGAAAATCTGTTTCTCCCCCGTGGTGTGTCGCAAGCAGTTATGGTCTAAGTACACGTGAACATGGGAATGCAGGACCAATCTTCAGCTTCCTCGATACAAAAGAGCGCTCAGTTGGCGTGCTGAACAGTGGAGAAGCACAGTTTGAGGGTGTACGGGTAGGGACCGGCTACAGAGAGAGAAGAGAGTCAGCGTTAGCTCAACCCAAAGAAACAAAAACAAACCATATACAAAATTCCTGCAATGAGCCAAATGAACTGAATGTGTGCTTTAACAAGTGTGTAGGTGAAGCACGGTCAGCTCCTTAGAGTTAACTAACTCTTAACCTGACAACTGCTTACTGTGTATAATTTAAAAAAGGATACTTGAGAGCATCATTGAAAACTTACTTGGATTTTTCATTTGGTAGTGGTTTATCATGGCCAGAGCTTCCATAGCATCGTTGATCGACTCCCACTCTAACAGACCTGAAGCACTGCGATCACTGGGAGCTGCTCCGCCTGGTGGGCACAGATGCAGAAATGTGATGAGACGTTAGATTTTATTCAGATTCAGTCATCGTTTTAAATATTTATCGGTGCATCTGCCAGTCTTCTTAAAGCTCACTGGCATAACTCAAATACACGTCAAGAGGAGGCGGGTGTAAAGCAGCGTACTTTTTCCTGTGAACATTTTGACATTAACAGGAGCCTTGACACCGATCTCGTCACAAATCTGTAAGAAGACAAACATCGTTAGGGTCTGCAGGTGCAACACTTGTGATAGTCACAGTTTGTAGGAGGAACTGTGCACATGCAGCCCAAGGATTCAGACCTGAGAGAAGATCTCCGGCGTGGCTTCTGGCTGAGCGTTGAAGAAGTGCAGCACGTTGCTCGGGTGCTGGATGCGGTTTTTAGCTGCTTGTTCTGGGGAGGTGAACCGGTTGTTCCTGGAGCCATGGAATTCCTTGAAGCTGCTTGTGCCATCTTCCAGCTCGTAGCATTGACCAGGAACGATGGCTTGCTGCTTGGATACGCTGCAGGGAATAGGAGGGGGGAGGGGGATCAGCCTTTTAAAATCATTTATGGCTCTTACTATTTAAGTCTCCAAAACTCAGCAGCTTCAGAAGCTCAGGCATAAACCAGTGGGTGATGTGTCCATGTTTTGTGATGACATTTCCACAGCCTTTACTTTGGACTAAAACAGTGTGTCAGCCTTTGTGTGATTCAAGTCTTTAAAGTGAAACTAACATCAGCCACTCTGCTGCCCGTAGACTTCTTGTTTGTGATTGGTCAGATGTTTTCAACTCCAACTGCTATCCAGATGATCGATTAGAGAATCCGGGGCAAACGGCTATCAGTTAACACTGGGGCGAGTGAAACTGTTGTGCGTGACTAGAAGCTGCTTTGTTCGGGCTCAGATGGTCCTGGAGCGATTTCGTCAGTCTGACACTTGTAGATTAAACTGTTCAAGTTTAACTCACCACACATTCAGTTTCTGTCCAAACAGGAAGTTGTTGTTGAGGTGAGTGATTGCACGGTCCACAGCGTAGCAGTCTCCCATCTCCACCATGGCTGCTCCGGGCTTACTCTTCATGAACTTCACCTGGAAGGGTTCAAAGACAGGATTGACTGGTGCTCTGCTATTTGCCTTTCGCTTTGACCTAAACACAGAATCAATTTGCTCTCTTGACTTGTGTGCGTGCTGATGAACTGGAACACAAGTGTGGCATTGTTGAGGTGGAAAATATTGACTCCGTTTCAGCCATGATAACACTTCCTGCTTACATTCCTTTGTTTCACTCTCAGTGTGAAATTTTGCTTGCTGGTAACTTCATCCTGCTCGCTGAGCTTTTATATCCAAACAGGAGTTAGAAAAACAAATGTGAGACACCTCCTGGGTCATTGTTAAATGTTCATGTCAGTGCATTTACTTCTGAAGGAATATACATTAACTGCATAAAAAGATTGAGACCGTTATGCAAGTTTAAGTAGCAAATCTGGACACAGCACCTGTACCAGTTACCATTTAAAATCATGAGCCTGTGCTGGTCCGACGCAGGATTTACATTTTCCTGTGTTCATTATTTTAAATGTTTGCATTAACTTAATGTTCACCTAAGTAATCTCACTTCAGGTTTTACTGTTCAAAGGTGCCATATTAGGTTTAAGTCATAATATAGAGTTACAGGGTTTTGTAAGTTCATATTAATTACTACAGCACACATGAAGACCCACAGGCACGACATCCCAGGGACTTAGACACGCACCAAAATCATCTTTTATTAGACCTGTGTTCTTTCTAATGGTCAGCAGAGGTCTGACTGCTGAAGACTTCTGGTCCTAAACCATAGGTGTCAAACTCTGGCCCGCGGGCCAAATTTGGCCCGCAGCGTAATTACATTTGGCCCGCGAAGCCATACCAAATTACTATCAGAGCTGGCCTACTGGTATTATACAGCTAATATATATATTGTTTAGTATTAAGCTTTGCTTGTTCCATATTCAGTTTTTCAGCAAAACGTGTTTGAGTCCATAAGAAAAGATTCATTCAATAAATATTAACGTTAGCCCGTGACTTTGTTCCAGTTTTGAAATTTGGCCAACTGTGTATTTGAGTTTGACACCCCTGTCCTAAACAATAAGAAAACATCCATCAGCTCCGAACTCTGACATCATCCACCGATGTCGTTAAAATAAAGACCATAGCCTGATATAAAAGACTGATGTCTTTTATAAAAGACCCACCTTCATCTTAGCTCTTTCAAACCAGGACAGTTCTGACCAACTGTGGGAGCGTGAACATACCCATGATTATCAATACAGTACTTAGAACTCATGATTTAACCCACAGTATAAACAGGAAAGTGTTTACTGAGCTCAAGGGAGATGAAGGATGTTTTCACATACACCAAACACAATCAATGATTGATGATTTACAATGCAGCAGCTCAACCATCAGCTTCGCAGCTAAAAAACAGGCACTGACCCGCTCTACGTTCCCATAGAGACAGAAGATGTTGAAGACGCGGTCGGCATTCATCTTGACAGGGTCCAACCCGTACACCATGACAACCGGCGAATCAGCATGTGCGCCGTACTCGCCAGGAGGAGGGGGAGGAGGTCCGTAGCCTGGACCGTAGCTTCTCCCTCCACGCCCTCTCATTGGTGGACCCATACGACGACCTTCGTAGGGCGGGGATCCGTAGCTTTCATCGTAACCATGGTAACCGCCTCCTGAAGAACGAGGCAGAAATCAGGAAAGTGAGAAAACGTGAAAATAACCCCAGTAATCAAGCAGGGTGAGGTAAATACTGAAATCTGTAGAGCCAATTACATAGGACACAGCACCACCTCACTGCCACTGTGTGGAGGACCCAATTTACACAATCGTCTTAACTTGAACGTACCAAGTTTAAAATGACTGTTGACTCATATTGGATGTAGATAGTTTGGATTATTAAAGTTTAAACCTCAGTTTCCCCAGTTTAGGGCTAATAAACCTAGTCTTAAACTAGATCTCGACTGAATCCTTCTTTCAGTCTGGGACTAGGATTAATCCACATACAGAGGAGATTAGCTCAGCATTTTGCATGTTGTGTTTCAGTGGGTTCTCTTGTTCCCCAGGGGCGTGAGAGCCTTACCGTACTCTGGAGGGTGGTCGCCCAGCAGAGCAGGCTGTCTCTGGCGCTTGTTAGGGTTGGCATTCACATCGTCTATAAGAACAGGAAGACAAAAGGAAAGAAGAAAAGGATAGAGAAAGAAAAAAAAAAAAAAAAGGTGATAAATATAACAAGAAAAGTCTGGAAACAGAACTGTAATCTCTACATGACAATGGGATGCTTGAGCACAAAATATGTATTATGGTAAACTGACATTTTGATGCCAAAGGTGCATCAGAGTGCACACCAAAGCGTCTAAATAATCTGTCAGAGGAACAATTACAAAAACAAAAAAAGAAACTAATCAGAGTACTTAAGAGAAACGCATGCATTTAAAGATTGATGCATCTGGCTCTCACAGGCCAGATGCATCGGGCCTGCGAGAGCCGCTCAGATTACAGATTACACTCCAAACATCTCAACCATCTCAGCAACTGCCCCTTTTGGTCTTGAGTGATTGTAAAGGAATGGTGGGGGAGGGCAAGGACGTGTAATGAATGACAAAGACAGCATTAGGGTCTAAGGAAATAACCCCAAAACCCCTTTAACTCAAAAACATCCACAATGCTAAACCCCTTAGCATGTAAAGTGGAACAGGAGTAAATGGCAAGGGTGAGGTGGATGCTGATGATCTCAGAGGTGAAGAGGGTAAGGGTATCAAACAAAGTCAGTCTGGATAAGTATGACAAATGGCTAAATTAAAAAAAAAAAAAAAATTTGTACGCTCACACACACCTGCATTGCTCCCATTGCCATCTGCATCACCATCTGTACAGGTACACAATAATCATACACAATCAGAAGGGAAGCCAGGTTAATCATGGTTACATCTTAACTCAAGTGAAGTTACCCGAGGTAAGTGTGGAGAGTGCATTAAGACCACTCGTAAATGATAAGGCTTTCTGTCCTCAGTGGGGAAGAGTTTTATAAGAAATGCAAGCTTGGTACCTTTGCAGGTGACAAATTTAGACTCTCCTAGCTTTACCAGGTGTGTGCCGCTTTGTAATTAGCAGGGTTGGTCACAGACACAGACTAAATAAAAGAAGGACGTAACCACCATTGGTTTGCGAAGCCTTGTTAGGAAGTTTCAGGATGAGTTCTGAAACCACACGAAACGAGAGAACCCGAAGGGCACCGCTCACTCTTTGGCTAACAACTTGTGACTCACAAGCAAATAGCCAATAGGACACCCTGGAAAACCTTATTGTGTCCATAGTTTATTTGGTAAACTTAATGCGTTACTCGGTGAGAACATAAACCAATCAGGAAAGTGTTAAATGAGGTCACAGAATGGAGCTAAGGACCAGTTTTCCATAGACGTCTACACAGCTGCAAGTCTTTTTGCCCCCTACCGCCCATTTAGAAGAAACTTTTCAGCGTTGGTAGCTACGCCCATCTTTTATGCCATCTGTTGTCAAGCACATCCGACACGAGCCCATTAAGTTCACACCCAAACTCCAGATTAAAACATGATTTATTTCCCAAAGAAACTAGCACAGCTCCAGGGAAGATGGATGAGATTACTGATGGCTGTAAACTGCCAACAGAGGGAGCAACAACACAGCTTACAGACATACAGAGAGCAGGTTTGACATTAGAAAACAGAACCACAGCCTCTTCCAGAAAGAGAGATTAAGCCTGTGTGAGGGGAAGGAAAAAAATAATTTAAAAAGAATGGAGTCATGTCTGTCTTGTGTGGCGATGTTGGTAGCTGGGCTTTGGGGTCATGTGGTGCTGTGCAGTTATGTTCCTTGAGAACAGGTCTCGATTTACTTACTGCAAGTTTACAAACAGTGGGAGGAAGACATTTGCTGCGGCAGTTCCACCACTCTCCACTCAACTCATTTCATCCCAAACTCTTATCCATTTCCTCTTTTTGGGGAGGGGGGGGCAAGTCTCCACCTCAGGATCGATTTCCTGGTTTAGCAAGCTGAAACGCCCACTGGTAGGTGGGGAGCTTGGTTGGCGTTTCCATCCTTTTTGTTGCGTTTTGGAAAGGTAGGACTTGAAGCTGCCATAGAGCACATTTCAGTGGGGGGGAAGCTGGCTCCTCTTAGCCGCAAATTGCCAAACCTGCATCACATGGAAGGTGTTACACAGGTTCTAGAGACTTAAATATATTTAAAGAAAAAAAAGGAGAAAGAAGCTAAACAGGGATGCAAGTAGTAAGAAAATCAGAGGGAGAAAGAGGAGAAAGAGCGAGAGAGAAAAGCTGAACTCCATGTGAGGGAGGGACACAGTGGATGGTCTGACTGGACTCTGAGTGTGCTGATGGTGTTGTCAGCAGTGTCTTGTCTTCATCAGTTGTCTTGTGTTGACTCCAATGTGAGTGGAAATGTCTTGATTCGAGGGTGTGAGGTGGATCAGTCGGTACGGCATCAGTGTGCTGCGTTCGTGTCGCAAAGCGTGACGAGCAGTTTAGCTCGAGGCTTTAAAAAAAATGTGATCTTGACTGATTGTTATCAGTATGCATCGTCTGCTGTGGTGAAAGATGCCTGTCACTAGCTTCTGACTGGGTGGGTGGTGCTGTGTCTTCTCTGGTGTCAGTCTTCGTTTGGTGTAGACAATGGGAGCACTGTAGCTGCTTGTGTCTCAAAGTGACGAAGAAGGGGGAAAACGGAGGGGAGGGACCGAGTGTAGCTCAGTACCAAAACTCCCCACACTCTACAAATGTCTCCATGGATCTTGTGCAAGAATGCAGAGATGACGATTGAGTGGTGTATCAGTCCTACATCGGCGTGTTGGATGGATGGTATCTCAGAGGACATTTGGCCCTCTGTGTGATAGTGGTAGTGTCCTCCCTGAAGAAGTGGATGCTTGAGATGGTGGTCGCTGAGTGTTGATGTCAGCGTGTATCTGCACAAAGCTTCTGTGCATAGTTGGTTTTTTTTGAAAGTCACCCATTACAGAGAGCCAGTCAACTGATGCTGGTCCAACACCTCTGTTCTCAGCCAAAATTAAATGTAATAAAATACAGAAGCAAACTTCAACTGAAGCACATTTGGCTTTTTACACCCGACTACCGACACCCCCCCCAAAAAAAACATGTTTTGTCAACCGAAATGTAAATTTTAAGGTGTAATTAAAAACAGTGGGAAAGACCAGCATTAGTCTTGGTGGCAAACACATGTTTTTCAGTTAAGTGACTTTAAAGGTACCTTTTGTAATTGCCCTCTGCAGGCAGGAGGGCAACACTTAAAAACTTCAGATGCTTAACCTTAATTAGAAAAAAAAAAAAAAAAAAAAAAACAAGCTTTTTTTAAAAAGTACAATTGTAAATAACTGTTCGCCTGGTTTAACAATGGTTAGGTTAAGTCACTGTACCTCGGGGTAGAAAGTGGCATTACACAAGAGTACAGCCCAACCATAGACCAACTTCAGTTGTACAAAAAAGTACCTTTAAAGTCAAAGTTTAACCACACTTTGAGGGGGAAAAAAAAAAAAGTAATAGTACTAACAGATATCCAAAAACAATCCTGCAAAAATGTGCCATGAGAAGGGCAGGAACAGCAAATGCCAGCAGAAAGAAAATGTGCACATAGCAGGTTAGCTTCTCTGTGACTGAACTGATTCAAGAGGACATTTAATGAGAAATAATAGAGCAGCCAATGCTCAGTCAGTGTGACCATACAGACATCTGTCTCAAAACTGGGACTGGGAAAAATAAACCTTAATCTTCTCTACTTTAAGTTACATGAAGAATATCAAAATGTCTTATTTAAATTTTAAAAAAATAAATACAAATAACAGTATAAAGGAGTAAATACTGTTGCTTCCAGTCAGTCACACTGCTGTAATGTGAAGAAAAGGCTGTAAGACATTTCGACCTTTTCTGCAGCAGAAAACAAAAACGCACTTTAACTGTCCAAGTTTGATTTAGACTTCTGCGGGAAATAGACGTCCTAACCTGTCACCTCTACCTTCCACGCCATTCAAGTCATTACATTTATCAGGACGCACACATCAGGTTACGAAGTAAGGTTAAAAGGATTTTCCATTTCCTGTTAAGCTTTGAGGCAGATTTGCTGCTGAAGCCTATTTCAGGCATTAGACTGGTCCCTGCAAACCAAGTAATTTTAACATCTTTACACAAGAAGCTAGCATAATCTTTAAGACTGAATACTAGATTTGTTTATATTATTGGTCTGAAACTGCAAAATGATTACCAACTTGAGCTTTAAAAATAATAGTAGTGGAGCAAATATTGCGCATTAGCTCTAATTTAGATTAGATTTAGTTTTAATCAAGCAAGAGAAACGCCTCCACCTCCCTGCTTTTTACCCAGCCTTATTGTTTCTGTAATGTTATAGACTTCCTTTAACGTAAAACAGCTACAAGGAAAAGAAAGAAAGAAAAACAATGTTTAACGGTGGGTTCGCTTTGCAGGTGAACTGACTGGTATATATACACCATCACTGGCCTGGCTGTTTTTAACCCTTTATGCATTTTGTTGTTTTGCAGTATTATTTATTATAAGACACCCAACTTTAGAAAAATCAACCCATTTATTTAAATCACTCTTTGTGGAGGAGGACATATTGTTAATGTGCTGTCCCAGCATTAGGCAAACAGTCTCTCTACTGCTTTGGGGAAAAGAAAGCTGCTCTATTCTTGAAACAGTGAAAACTACTTCCTGACAGTAACTTCCGCCCGAGGTGAACTGACTTAATGAGCTGCTGGGAAACACAAACTAGGTTAGACAGGTGCCGAAGCAGGATCTACAGTCACAAGCACCACAATTTACTCATCTTAAGAGTCTGAAGGGAGGGTCACGTAACAAGTAAAGTACACAAGTAAACCAGAACAACAAGATGCCACAGAAAATATTAGCCTCGCTATGTTATCTTTCTCTCTGTCTGTTCCTGCCAGTCTCTCCACTTAGCGATATGCTGGTTTGTAAAAAATAAAAAATTACAAGTTCTGCTTTTTTTTGTTTTTACTTAATGAACCTGAAAACCCAGAGAAATGTAAAGACCCAAAGTAACGCTTCAGTCATAATGCCACATTGGTTTGTTTCAAAATATGCCACATACACTTAAAAAAAATAAAATAAATGGATCCATGTTGTAGCATTATCAGTGAAGAGTGCTGCCTCCATCTGCCCAGTAGCATGCTTGCTGCAAGTCCCCACAGTGGCAGTAAGGGTGCTGAACAGTATCAGGCTTCTCAGCTACAGAGCATATGTAGCACTAAGCAAATGTCTGGGGGTGTGTGTCTGCTGCTTGAGGTTTTACCTGGGCCTCCCAGATTGGGGTTTGTGTAGTCCCAAGTGTCCTGGTCATTCTTGAACACATTCAAACGAGTTGGCTGGAATAAAATGAAAAAAAAAAAATTATATGAATAAACAAATCCGACTTTTAACCTGTCAAATGAAAATAAATTTTAACTGACTGGACCGGGGTTCTAAACCGGTGGCTCTTTCCCTCCAATCTACTGTGGCTTTGGCTAAAAAACTATCTAGAATCAGTTTTACTTATAACTAGCTTTCATTACATGTCATTAACTCAGAAACATTCACTTTCTAACAAAGAATTTTATTTGCAGGTGTTACCTTTGCATACTCGATCTTCAGGGTGCAGCAGCCAGAGTAGATATCTGCTCCATTGAGTGACGCCTTGGCCCTCTGGGCACTTTGAACGGAGTCAAACGTGATGGCATGGTTAAGGGCACAAGGTGTGTATTTGGACTTTTTAAATGCCACTAAAGAATGAAAAAGAAGACAGCAGACAAAAAACAAAACAAAAAAACCCCCACATGCTGTTAGGCACTGTGGGTAAATTTTAAGCAACTGTAAAAACTTTTCTGATCTCCACCCTGTTTCTTATATGTTTATAAAGATACCAGCTTTCCTTTGTTTCTCACAGTTAACAAATAAGATAGCAGCCAATGAGGACTTGAAAGGATATTCAACCATTGCCTGGACGCCGTTTTTCCTGAAGATAACGATTCTCTGGACCGGCCCACAGTTGTTGCAGATAGTGTAGAGGACGTCCTGAGAACATGAAACAAAACACGTTTTATGATTAGATTTGTTATTCAAAACAATCTTAATGCAAGTTTTGACCCCCCCTTAAAAGTTTCATACTATTTAGTTTTTGTTTTTTTTTTTTTAAATAATCAGTTTTCTTGAAACTCCCAGATTTCCCCCCAATCTGAGCACCACCTTCTGTACAGTCTGAGAATCTGAGTTACAAAATTCTAACTGTGCAATTACCCAAAGCAGCATTAAAGTGCAACCAGCAGGTGTGAAGTCAATTCCTGAGTGTACTCCCATTCAAAAGGTTTACAACTGTAATCATAAGCTAGGTGGAGTGCAGCGATTCCCAAATGGTGGCGTTCAGAACTTACTGATGCTGTTGGTGTGTCATTAACTATATAAAAGATCCATGTTAAATTTTAAAAATTGATTAAATATGTCAATCTGAGGATGTGAACTTCTTCAGTAGGGTGCACCATATAAAGTGGATTAACATAACGCTACTCATTGTGTATTAGGGCTGGGGGTTATGGCCTAAAATCCATATCACGGTATAATTTGAAGCATGTGCGGTGACGATATATATATCGCAATATTTTCTTTTCTTCTGTATAACGTATTTTACACACTATAAGGCACACTTAAAATCCTTTAATTTTCTCAAAAATCGAGAGTGTGCCTTATGTATGTATGTATAACATTAGCACAGTGAAGCTGAAGGATGAACGCTAACTTTTTCCACTCGATAAAAGTTAACGTGAGGGTTTCTGGTGGTTGGGGACAAATGCAATTGCATGGCAGGATGCTATAAATGGACCAAACTTCAGTCAGGAGAACAACTGAGATAATCCATCCACAATACGAGGTTAGTCATTAATATACTGCAACTACATGGGAATAGAGCAGCTGTGAGAGAATTTGGCATTAAAGAATCAAAGGTAGGGAAGTGGAGGAAGCGCAGTTTTTGGCTTTCCTCATATTCCAAAAGTGCTTCGTCTCTTTGCTATTACTGTCGCCCGGCATAATTTCCAGAGGTTGTTTGCAGCCGCTGCAATGCTTTCGACCAAAACGGGCGCAGCTTCATGTCACCATCAACATGCGCTATCGCGGTAGAGTGGTATAGTCAAAATCTCTGGCCAAATTTATATGGTTTCTACCGTATACCGTTTATACCGCCCACCCCTATTGTGTATGTGTATACACTTTCACTGACAGGACGTCTACAGGCTGGTACAAGCCTGGGGCTGTATGGTGTCCATGAATGATCTAAGCAGGGATGTCTTTCTACCGTTACATCGCCAGTACCGCCACTCAATTTTCAGAGAAAAGCAGCACATTCCAACAAATGGCAAAGACACTCTGTATTTGTATGGGTTGTAGCATTTGTGGTCTCTGCTTCCCTTTTATTTCAGCCACCGACACATAACTGACATTGTTCCAAACTACCAGAGCGGCAGCCAACTTTAAAACTTTTCCTGCAGTGCATAACTACTAACAACCGTTTGTGGTAAAACAACAGCACTGACATTTAAGGACACCCGTCAGCTGGTACACAAAACAGTCCCAGGCAAAGTAATGACACAAATCGTTGCACTCACCGTTGTAATAGGGTAGATGGGGTTCATGATAGTGAACAGAAGAACATTGTTAACGGTTCTCGAGTCATCAGAGTCTCCGGGCCTGGATATCTTCTGGCTGGTGGAGTAGTTGATGAACGCTGGGTGGCCGGCGATGTATACCTGGTTGTCTGCAGCATAAGTCACAGCTGTGGATGATCCGTTCATGTCCTCGTACTCTACCAGCGCCTGACGCTTATTGGGCATCACCACCACATAGCTAAGACAAACAGAACACATTAGCTGGGAGTTGATAACTTTATTTATATCGCACCTTAAAAAAAAAAAAATCTTCAAAGCATGCCAAACTAAGACAATACACAAACTAAAAGCTGATAAATGAATGACATGTAAAAACCATCCTGTTGGATCTGACGAAGCAATCTGAAGGAAGTCATGAAGCGTTGAGCCTTGGTGAGGTTGTTCCAAAGTCTTCAGATATAAGCACTGACTTAAGGACCCTACCTGAGGGTCTAAAGGGATCAGCATTTCTCTATGTAGTTGAAGGCCAGAGTTGGGTTTGGTTTATAAGCAATCATTAAAAGTCACTCAGCTGCTGCTTGCGGAAAACTTTATTCCAAGTTTTTACCTGATTGCTCCAAATTCTTGCAAGGCTTCCACGAGGTCAGCTTCTGTAACACCATCCACCAGCCCCCGGACATGGACCACCACGGATGGAAGGGTCTTGTGCGGATCTTCGTATCCCTATTAAAAACACAATTTAAAAATCAAAACAAAAAAACAACTAACTGTAGACTTCTTTATGAAGGTTTTTTTCCTGGCTCATAACGAGCATCCGTACAGTGAGAGACTTTGTAATTATGCAACTGTATAAGGACCACAAAACAATCGAGATGCGATTCTATTCAGACTTTTAGCTTTAATTCAGGATTTCAAGAAATTGAACTATATTTATACAGCGCCAAATCACAACAGCAGTTACCTTGAAGAAGAAAGACAAGAAATTAACTGGATTATTCTGCATTTAAAAAAAAATGAAATACAATACTTGGAATTTTCCTTTTATTGGGCACCAAAATATTTGACAATCAATGAAGGAAAGTCGAAACATGTCCAGTTACTTGTGCAACCTGCGGACATCGGGTCATCTATTTAAGGATTCTGACACGCTTAACGAATTTATCCTGCAGAAATAATTGCGAGTGGAAGGTAAATTCCCATATGTGCATTTTTGCGGGTTTTTTTTTTTTTGTGTTAAACCGTCCCACAAAAGATAAAATATATTTTAATACTGTAACACGCTCTCTTCCACATGGTCTAATAAAATTACACCTAGCTACACCAACAAGCTACTCAGTGAGACACTCAGGATTTCCAGTTTGTTGCACTTCTGTGCGTCCTTCTCGGACTGAATACTGGTCACTATCCCGTTTGAGTTTTGAGCAGTTGGGGGGGAAGGGGTGCTAATCAGGCCCACGGTTCTAATAACGTGCTTTCAATTGCATAGTTATACAGTTCTGTATAAACGTAAATAATAATAATAATAATAATAATTGGCTTGCTCAAAGTATGGACTAATGGTCAATGATCTCTACAATAAAAAGCGGGTTATTTCGTGGGGGACTAATAGCTAGCACGTTGCTAACGTTACCGGCACTAGAACAAAGCCGAGCTACGGCAAGGCCGAGGCGGAGAAACCGCCCTCCGACAGCTCCATTCAGAGGGCAAGGCACGGGCACAATACTATTTACGCCCAGAGACACATCCCGAGCAGCTGCAATCGAAACTACACAGCGTTTAAATGGAAAAACATTGTAAAACGCCCAGTTTTGTTGGACAACTATCTTCCCGGGCATGGATTTAATAACCTGCGGCGCGTCGTGACACATTTTTGCCAGCTCACATCTGAATGAATCAAACTGCACCGAGAAATGAGTTACCGAGCTGCGTATATTCACACTGTACGCTAAATTAATTCCCATTCTTCCTGAGACCAACGTACCGTGGCCATTCCGTCGGTTTTCTGTCTTTTCGTTGCCCTGCCGTCTTCGCTGTAGTAACGGTTAGCTGCAGTAGCCATGTTGTCCCGGTTAAAAAGGATGGTGGTAGTGACGACGAAGTGAAATGGACGGAAAAGTCAAGAAAAACGAGGCTTGCGTATCCACGCCCACTTTCAATACATAACGCGATATGATAGGCCCAGGCAGCTGTCAATCAGCTTGTAACTTGAGTAAGAACCAATCGAAAAAAAGAAGCGTTTAAGTCATTATTTTGAAGTTAAACGCAGCATATACCAATACAAGGCTGGTTATTTTCAAGTGACCTCAGATTATGTACTTTTACCGAACAGGCGCAATATTATTCAGGTTTAGCATTTACAATAAAACCGTATTACTAATGATCTGATCTGATCTGAGGAGCCTCAGGTGCTACCATCTTTATGCGGTCTGAAATCATCGTTGGCTGAGTGTTACTGGTCAAAATAATGACAACTCAAAGTTTCAGAACAGAGCAACATTTTAAAGAAGCCATCCCTGTGAGGTTAGTGTTGCAGGTAATTGGTGCATACCAGGGAGTAGTTTTTTGTAGCCTTTGACCCGGTTCTTGTTTTCATAAACAGGAAACATGTTTATATAACATGTGTCAATACATTTGCACTTTGGGTCTCTGCCGGACAGCCGACAAACAAAACTAGTCTGGTTTTAATATCGTACACATGGAAGGATTACTGAGATAACAGGAGCCAAATACTTAGCATCGACCCATACTAATGCTGGCACAGAGGTGGTGTAAACCTTTGCTGAAACATCTTTACTTTAGACACATTTCACTCTTTATTAGTATTAGTCAAATGTACGAAAATAAACTGGACACTGATGTTTGTCGAAGAGATTTATTGAAAAATAAAACTGCCACTGTCACCATATAAGCCAGGAAGAGCAGAAACTGTTGAAGGAGCCCTGTCAGAAATCCACCTGAACTGCATTTGTTTTAAAATCAAGTGATGGGGACAAAGCAGAGGAGGAAACTCCCGCTGCACAGTGATGCTGATCTGATTTTATCACAAAGGATGTGCAACAACAACAAAAAAAAAAACAACTAAAAAATAAAAAGCAAAAACAACAGGAATGTTGCATCATATTTAAAGGCATGCAAGCTGGCAATTATCTCCCTCTGCCATCATAATCAGGAACTAAACAGATCAACCCAGGCATCGAACAACAACATTTACAAATTTTCAATGGGGAACCTTTTTTTTTTTTCCCCTTTCCCAAGAAGAAATGGCTTCTTGGTTCTCAGAAATTCATCCATTTACTCCACGGAGATCCTCAAATTACTGCTAAAAGTAATCTTCAACATTACCTTCTTACAAATCAGTGTTGGGGAAAAAAAGGAAAAGAAATATGGCCTACACAGCAACAGCAACATTTAAAACAATCTGTATCTAGTGGAAAATTTGTTTTTATCTGCTGTACTGATTACATCTCAAACAAGGATGCACATAGACTACAGCCCTGGGGAGAAAAACCGCACGAAACCGGGACAAGACAGACAAATTCAAAAACAACAAGAAAAAAAAAAGAAGTTGCTGCCAGGGTGTAAAAGCAGAGAGGGTGCAGGGGTTAAGGGTTTGTCTTAGGGACAGTGGTGGAGGGAAAGGGGGGGGGGCAAATAGTCGCCTTCGCTCAGTCGTCTGCTGGAGTAGGGCTTCGGTTTGGAGTTGCCGAACGGGAACGACTGAAACAGAAAGGAAGAGGAATTAGCCCGCCGCAGGGGAGGGGTGGAAGAAAGTTCGGACAGGTGTTAACATTCTTAACAACAACCCTTGACCTCTCAGGTACACTTCATGTCATCTGCCTCTAATCTTTTCAGAAATAGCTATCTATGTTCAAAAGCTAAATTCATAATTGAACCCCCAGAGCAAACGCTCATTGAAATAAATGGCAGGTCTTTGATTGACACTGTCTCATGTTTTGCTTCTAGAGCTGCTGGTTAGCAGCATTTGTGCTCTAAGAAATGCAGAACTCAATCCTCCCCTTACCTACAAACACAGACAAGTTGCTTCAAATGGTAACGATGAGGCAACAAGTGAGACACAGTGAGAAAAACGTATCAGACACATCATCCCACTAATATTCATGGTGCCTGTTTGTCTTTCACTCACTCGCCCAAGCGCTCTCACATGCAGACACACACTTACGTACTATGAGCATGCTTGTTAAAAAGGATCAACTTTAACTTCTACAAAACACCTTTTTTTTTTTCAGACTACATCAAGCCTGCAAATGTTTCTTTTCACCATCAACATGAGCTTGTCAGGGGGTTTGATTTTTGGTTACCTTTGGAGACAGTGGCAGAAACAACAAGTACAGAGAAGCGAAGGATGAAAGGACTGAAGGACGGATGACTACAACTTGGAGATACACTGCGCTGGGAGGCTCTTGAAGACTGATCTCTCGTCAGCTCTCTCACTTTCAGAAGCTAAGACAGAGGCGAAGAACTCTGGTAGGTAGGTAGGGGGTCTGGTAGGTAGGTAATGGATTTAAAAATGCCGAACTGTGATCTGTGTGGGTCAGCCCTCTGGTACATCTGAAGGCTGGCTGGCTGGGTGACTCTAGTTGAGCAACTGTATGTGTGCACGGGCTGATCTCGTCTGAGCGTGTGCGTCGGTTGGAACAGACACCCATTCACTGTGGGGAGGGTTCGGTCGGTAGGTCGACCTCTTTCTCGCTGTCTAACACCAGATGCAGGCGAAGGCTGATCTCAGGTCAGCGCTTAGTCAACCTCCCGCAGGACGTACACACCGCCAGCTGGCAGACCCTGGGCCTGGGATCAGCTGCGGTGTCAGTGCAGTGCTCAGCTCCCACCACACGCTTTAAAGAAAATATGAAAAATAAACAAACTGTGCTGCAAAGATGCTTACCGCAAGTCACACCTACGGCGTCGCTTTGTCTGATCTCTGCTAGTAGCTGTTTTTACTTTTTTCCTCTTTTGATAGAGCCAGATTCAGTAAATTTTAAGAAAGAATAAAAACATTAAATTCTTTGTTTAACACTTGTCAATCCAGTAAATTTTTAAAAAGTAATAATTCTGTCAGCTTAAGATAAATTTAGACCAAGGTACATCAGTGAGGAAAATATCAAAGGAAGGCAAGAGCAGAGGTAGTCTTTCATGTGCTTTCTTTTCAGGGTAAAGGCCTGATTAAGAGCCAAGCTGCAAAGCGCTGACAATACAGAGCCATCAAGAGCTGAAAAAGAGAGCACAGGAAAGAGATCCAGTCATTCCTCTAGGTATACCTCCCTAGACCAGACAGAGGGCCGGGATCCCTGTCCTAAACCCCACCCACTCCACTGCTGGCAGCGGAGGCAGAAGATCTCTCTGTGCTGAAGAGGCTGACGGATCTCGGAGGTCGTCCATCTCGTCATCCCGCCATCCCGTGGTGGTCGGCTGACAGCAGCATGCCGCTTCCAGTTGGAAGGAGGGTCTATTTAATTCCCTGCCTTACTCTGGCTAAGGTGGAAAAACTTAACTGACCCTCAGCAGGAACGCAAGATATCTAAAATCTGTTATTCTTGATCTAAAACTTAGATTATGTTTTGGTTTAAAGAAGAAAAAAAAAAAGACTAAGCATCAGAAACTCAAACTGTCTACACCCTGTCCAAGTGAGAGAGAACATCTAGACCGAGGGCTTACCTGTTCCTCTTGTGGTTAGCAGACTGAGAACGTGACCGGGATCTGGACACAGAGCGCCCTCTGGGAGCAGAACCGGACCGAGAACGAGACCTGGAACGACTGATTAAAGACAGAAAATATTTTAGACACCTTCAGATGATAAAGACGATCTTATATCTGCAGACACATGTAAATGTGTCTGCAGAGCTGCATTTCCCTGCTCAGCTGAATTCTGTTAAACACTTCAAGAAGTTCAACTCATCTTGCAAGCCTGTTATAATTAAGGATAGGCATCTGTCAAACCAGAACACTATTCGATCCTCACTCTAAACCATTCCTCTAGTCTTTGAAGATCGCTTCCACCTAACGGCCATTAAATTTCTGCCCAGTCGTGGCACACCCGAGACATGCTCCCTTTACCTGGCAGAGTCTTTACTGAGCCTCACCTTCGTTTCTCACTCACACACATACCTTTGAAGGTTTTTCCTGCTGCATGCCATTCTTAATTGCTCCTTGGGTCTTTCTGATTCTGATCTAAACTCACCACCTGTTACACACCTGGGCTGCAGTCAATTAGTTCTTAGGAAAGTTGGTAATTGAGAGAAGTGACCCTGAAGTATGTGCAGCCAAAACACCAGAGTGTCAAGTTCTCTAAATACTAAGGAAGGATGGAGGATGCTTGAAGACTTGTCCAATGTCATTTATTTATTTAGATATTACAGCCGCATTACTGCCACCTTTTGGCAGTAGTAGTGTGTTCCACTGTAACAGTAGCCAGTAAGCATCGACCAAGTCAACCATTTTTTAAATAATGTATTACTGAAGTGGCCATCACCATTAATAATGCTTGTTCATCATCACTACACCATCCATACATTAACATGAAAAGCACAGCGAGTCCATGTTACCACTGAAAAAAGTGATTTACAGGGAAGAACCGAGTGATATACAAATGTAATTTCTCATGTAGCAGCGGTCAGAGCACAGCATCAGAGCAACAAACAAATTCACTGCGTCTCTCTAACAGTGAGTTTGGGATAAGAATAGCTGTGGACAACTCACCTTCTGGCTGGAGTCCTGGACTTTGAGCGGGCAGGGGATCCAGACCTGATGTCACAAAACAAAAAGCAGCGATTTCAATAAAACTTTGGAGAACAGCAGGAACACCCAGTAATTACTCTCCAACTTGTTTCTTAAAGAGGTTTCAGTATCACAGACAAATGTCCATATGCTACAATAACCACACTTTGTAACCAGTTTTAACGACACACCCGTCATCAGTGTTTGATGTAAGATGGTCATAAAACTTTGTGTTTAACACTTTTAGAAGTGTTTTTAAACTTCCTCAGGTTTAAAATGTTTGAGAAACAAACAGCCAAAACATAACAGGATGTTAAGCACGATTACAGAAGACGTTTGGCTCAACTCTCTGTGGACTACCTG